GGATTATCCTCATCTCTTCCCCATGACTCTTTTCCTTTACTGTATCTAGGGCTTCTAGGGGGATCTCACTCTTGAGGTTTGGATCCGCCTCTCAATTGGTGAGGACCGCCTCATACATACTTTTTTAGATGACCCTCTAGAATGAGTCGCTCGATATCTTTCTTTAGCTGGTATAAATCATCGGTGTGATGATCCTTTAATTATGGTACTTGCATAATCTATTGGGTTCAGACTCCATAATATTAGATTTTGGGACTAGTGGCGGAGGAATATTATGAGTGTGGAAGACTTCATGTCATATTTGTTCTCGGCGAGTGTTAAGTGTCGTAAATTTCTCAACGGGTCTTCCACTACACTTGAAAGTCGCCTAGTCTATTATAAAGGAGGTATAATGACTCATATACTATTCATGGGATGTGTTAGGAGCATTGTATGTTGGTTCCTTGGCATCTTGACTTTGTTCTTTGCATTACTTTCGCTGCCCTTGATATAGCATTTGACTCGTTCCATCACTTTCATGGTTTCTTCCATGGAAGCCGCTGGACTTGTTGAAGTGTCCGACTCTCAAACCATTTTGAAACACCCCTACAAATATCTTTGGTTCGAGTGTATGACTTTGATGGTTACCTCGCCAAAACGAGAGAAATACTCCCTCAATGACTCAAAGTGTCTTTGGCGAACGTTTAACAGGCTTATGATTGATACCTTCATGTGATTGCTCGTAGATAACTGATGAATTCATTTCTTCACCAAATCTTATTAATTAGTAACTGATAGGCTGGTAAGTTCATGTACCACCTAAATGTGGCGTCCATGAAGATGCTAGAGAGTAGCTTGCACTTCAAAGAGTCATTGACGCTTTAGATAGTCATTTGGGTGTTGATGGAGACGACATGCTCTTGAGAGTCACTCCTTCCGCCAAACTTCGTCAGTGAGCAGGATTAAAAACCTTTCGGCACAAGGTCCCTCTAATTTCATAAAAAAAGGTTGGGGATACATGACTTTAATATTTTGACAGAAAAGAGTAAGTAACAGAAGATGACACAATTACAAACATCATTGTTTAACTGAAGCCATGTTTGAGAACTAAGGTTGTCTTTGCTTTTAAAAACAAAAAAGCAAGAAAAGCAGTGGTTATCATGAAACAAAATTAGGTCCACCTGTAATACCCCAAATTTTGCCCTGAGGTTATTAGGTTCATTTCGCACGTCATTTTAACTAACCGCTAATTGGTTTGTTCAGTCTGTTGGTTTTTGCAGGAAAATGGATTCTCTGCTTATCTGTTCAAGGTCATATTCACTGACTTTATTATCGGCCACAACTTAATTTGTTAGATGTTTTGTTTGAGCTCAGTTACGTCCGATCTAAACCGTTCAAAATGTTTAATTGCCGAGTTCGGAGTTGGAAATGGGATAAATATCATTTGAGGAATTTAATTAATTTGATTGAAGAGTTTATCCATTTGGATTTAATCGAACAAGTTGGATTTATTCTGATGAGGTTATTCGTTTAAGTACCGGATGAGTTATTCAGAGATTTTATCGGAGATGGGATTTAATCGGATTTTGGATTGAGAAGTTCAAATTAATAGAAAAATAGAACTTTTATTTTGTTACAATATCCAAATAATGAAATAGAATTTTTATTTATGCTATTATTTTATTACAATATCCAAAAAGAATAAAATTTACAAATAAAATTACATTTTTCTAAAATTCCTAAAATGGTCCTAAGAAGTCTTCCGCTTCCGATTCTTCGAGTTTCCGATCTTTTTCTTCGAACCTGCAAGTCAACAACAAACAAGCATTTTTTTTAAACGGTTAAAGAAGTGGTTCCGATACCATCAGCTTGATATCATCATTGGGTACGTCGGGAGGGCAACGACGAATTCGAAACCAGCTCCCGACTTATTTTCCGACCTCGGCAAATCAGGAAACATATGTTCTAAGAGAGAGAGAGAGAGAGAGAGAGAGAGAGAGAGAGAGAGAGTTGATTTTTGGAAAAGTGATTCTGAAAAAGTGCTTTTGGAAAAAAACACTTATTTTTAAGAAAAATGGTTTTTGCCAAACAGGGCATAAACACATTTTCCCCAAAAGTTCTAAACCCAAATGGATCAAATGAGGCCCAACAGCATATCCGGAGTCAACAACAGCATATCCAGAGTCAACATGGAAATCTCAAAAATGTGGATATTGCAGGCAAGCCCCAAACGGGTTAAACAACAAACTTTCCCAACTTCTGAAAATCACAACATTTTCTCAGCCAACAAACCGTGAAAAATGCTACAAAAGTTCCAAGTTTCCAGCAATAACATCTATTTCAGCAATCATAAAATCAACCACGCAGAAAATATCACAAGGATCCGGATTCAAAGCCATCAAAGTCTCTTGAAAATCAGCATAAACAAAACTCTATTTCCTGAAAATCAATAAATCCAGACCCATCAAAGAAAATGAAAATCAATATATAAGAAACCGTCAAGAACAATATAAGAGAGGATGAACGAGTTCAGAAAAGGGGATTCATGAGAACCCTAGGAAAAGTGACGGCGGCAGCGTGGTCATCAGGGAGAGGATTTGGATCCTCAGAGTTCAACATCATTGGAAAACCATCGGCGAGACCCGCTTTGAACCCATTAACGGGTGAGCAAGTCTACCTCACGATTTTGTTTTGTTTTAGGGCCTATGTAAAGAGACGGAAATGGATCGACGGGAAGAAGAAGACAATTTCAGAACATGCAACCATGGCCATGGCCGCCGCGGCTGTAACGAAGAAGAAGATAAAAAGGGGTTTCAAATCCTACGTAAAAATGGAGCAGCAACAATAACTTTCCCTAATTTATCTCATTTTTCTGTCTGTTTATTATTTCTTTTTTTATTATTTAATTACTATTATTATTATTATCATTATGTTTTAACTTTAGTAATTTAACATGTTTAGACTTTACTAAAACCATTTTCTGAATTTTTATAATTTAGTTTAGTTAGAAAATTAAAACCTTTTTAAGTTAAAACATTAATTAACATTAAAATCATTTTCTAAATTAAAACATTTATTAAAATTAAAACTTTTTTTTAATATGCATTAATTAAGGTTAACTACTTTTTTTTAAGTTTTATTTTATAAATCAAAATTAACGTTGTCTTTAAAATTAAAAACCCATCTTTTTTAAATAAGTTGACACTAAAGTTTTAATAATTATTAACTTTTTTCTAAAAGCATTAAAATTAAAATTTTTTGATCAATAAAATATTTTCTTTTAAAAATATTGTCTAATCTAAATTTCTAACATTTCCCTTTTAATTCCTAATTTCTAACCTAGAGATTCAGAAAGTAAAGTTCCTAACTTTTTCGTTAATTGTCACCTGACTTTCGTTTTTCTCATTTGTACAATTACTAATTTCTCGTACTTTTCGCATTTTGTTTGGGTTGTAATTTATGTGAGGCTATCATCGCTGCTGTTTTCAATTCCATTTCATTTTGGTTTGTAATTTACGCGAGTATATCGTCGCTTTGCACTTCCTTTATTTTATTTACATTTTTGGGTTGTAATTTACGCGAGTATATCGTCGCTGTGCATTTCCTTTACGTTTTCGCACTTTACCATATTTTCATACTGCCGCTTTATTTACTTTTGCATGACATTATTTACCGTCAAAACCCTTCGAAGGATTAGGTCTAGCAGTTTGACCGCCGAGTCAATAACCCTAACCTTTGAACATTTCCCTTTCCAAAACCCTAATCACATTAGGTTTCCCACCATGGAATACTTATCATTTTACCCTTTTTATTCAATTCAACCTCTTAAACCTAGAGAATTCGAGTCGCCGTACTCATATTTTTAAGCGTCCCGTCGTGGACAATTTTACCCTTTACCCTAGCTTTAGGTTAAGGAGTCGCCACACTCCGTTTTAGGTTTCCCATCGTGGAATACCTATTTTAACCCTATTTTCAATTCAACTATTTCAACATAGAAATAGGAGTCTTCGCACTCCACGTAAGCGCTTCCTTAAGAACGCTTATTCCCCATTGAAGCCTTGACCACAGTTAAGAAGTTCTAACCTCCCTTTCAAGGAGAACTACGATTACTCTGATTCCATCCCTTACCTCGGATACGTAGGCACAAATGTGAATCTTGGCGAATAAACTTAGAACTAACCCTTAGGTCTTTGTCACTCTTAACCCTTAGCATGTAAACCTCAAGCAATAATAAAGCAAAATAGTAAACTTTAAACAAAAGGTTTTTGTAGAGTAATACAGAAGTTTAGGGTGCTAATACCTTTCCTAAGGTTAACCAACCCCTTACCTAGATCTCTCCCCGCATTGTTTACGATGCAAAAATTAGATTTTCTTTCCTTTGACATTTTCCTTCGAATAAATCAAAGATCGATTGTGAACTAAAGATGTAATTCAAATTAATTAATAGTTTAATATCCTATTTTAACTGCAACACCACCAAACATGAAATGGACACTTGTTTAATTTTGATATGCTAATGTCACATCCATTTAGAACATGAAATGGACACTTGTTTAATTTTGATATGCTAATGTCACATCCATTTAGAACGGTTAACTTTCACACAACTGCACATCTTATCTGTAATCCAATTTCAATTTATTTTGTTTGTTTCATAAATCAAATCCAGACACAGTTGAACAACGTGGTTCACTGCATTGATGTACCTTTTTCCACTTTTTGTTCTCTTTTGACATAAGATGAATTTAATATAAGTAACTATTGTAGACAACTTTACTATTTGAAAGAACAAAGCATAAAGAGAATAGCATCTTCACTTATTTGTTAGAAGAAGAATAAAAAGACAAGTTTGTGTGAGTGGAAAAAGTGTATAGTGAGAATAGTTTCTTGAATTTCAACACATTTTTGGAGTGTTTTGTTGTGGGGTAGCATAGTATAGCGCTACATGTGAGTGAGTTAGTGAATGAATAGTGAAAAATTAAGAAAGGTAAAGTTTGATTTGAAGAAGGAAAGGAAAGAAGATGGAGATAGAGGAGTTGGATTATGTGTTGGTGCCTGTTGGTATTTTGGTGTTGTTAATGTATCATGTTTGGCTTCTCTATACTATACTCCGACAGCCATCTAGTACTGTTATTGGTTTGAATGCTCAGACTCGTTACCAGTGGATTCTTTTCATGATGTCTGTCAGTAATCTCTCTCTCTCTCTCCTTTTGCTTGCTTATATTTGCCTGTCGACATGTTGTGATGTCGTTAGATATCTTGCACGTTCACGCTACTCGTTGGATCGAGATCAGATCTATATTGTCTGATCTCGATCCAACGGATACCAATGTAATGACTGTGTGATATTGTTTTTCTTAGACATATCTAACTTCTAAGTGCGTGTTTGAATTGACAATGAATTTGACAGAATCACAACGTATTGCTTTGAATTAGTTTATGGCAACAAAATTGGAGTGTTAAAGTTATTGTGAATCGAAATATGCACTAATGAAGTTGTTTTCGTAACAGTCTCTATTGTTTGCATTGTTGTTTTGATCATAACAGCTCTCATGTGTTGTTGCATACAATGTTTATTTTTCAGGATCCGTTGAAAAACGGTGTTTTGGCAGTTCAAACGATTCGCAACAATATAATGGCGTCAACTCTTCTAGCTACAACAGCGATCACACTAAGTTCACTTATTGGAGTTTTTGCCAGCAATGACTCAGAAACCAAACTAGTCTATGGCAACAAAACTTCTCTAAACTCGTCGATAAAACGCCTTTCTATCTCGCTATGTTTCCTCGTTGCGTTTCTATGTAATATGCAATCTATAAGATACTATGCACATGTGAGTTTCTTAATCACCACACCCGCAATCAAAGGCAAAAAGGATTTCACTGAATACGTTGCGAGAACATTGAACCGCGGAAGTTATTCTTGGTCTCTCGGCTTAAGAGCTTTCTACTTGTCGATTCCTCTAGTCCTATGGATTTATGGTCCAATACCTATGTTTGTTTGTTCTTGCTTCACATCATTTCTTTTGTACTTCTTGGATACAACAACTCAAATCACAAGAGATCTTCACAATAAGTCGTTTAGAGATAAGGAAAGTAGTACTCAGGAAGTGGATGCAGCAGCATAGGTTCATATTTATATATATGTAACTATTAAGTATGATACTTTTGATTGGTATTGTTAAAATTATAATAATCTTGAAGTCAATGATTGGAGAAGTGATAAGAAACATTTAACTAGTACTACTTGGATTGAATGTCAGTGTCAGAAATAGGATGATGTATTACAGTACTATTCACAATTTCTATGACCATGACAATGGCAAAGAAAAATATGTGTCGTGAATGTAGAATGGATATTAACCATGATAGTGACTGAATCACCTGTATGTCTCTCAACTAACAGCTCATAGATATTGAATTTTGCAACGTGCATTCAGTACCTTACATTTCCCTATCAATCATGTACTACTCTTAAGTTGAAGTTGAAGAGACACATGCACATGATCATATTGAATCATAATTGGTTACTTATCATATCAACAACCGCCAAGCCAATCCTCAGCTGAAAAGTACTAAATTTTGTCACATCCATATGTTAATAATGCTACATCAAATACAAGACTTGTCTCGTTCTTATTTGTTGATTTTGGTTCATAGGTAATATCAAGTGGACAAGGGGCGGAGATGTGGAGTTGTCCTTGCGCTTGACCCGTCTGTTTGTTTGATGGTGACTGGGTTGTCGGGGTGCGGGAGATTTTGTCCCCAACAATATGATTTAAGATTATTATAGAAATTTGGATCTATATATTTGTAACACTGAAATTTTAATAGTGTAAAATTCATAATAAATCAATAAAACAGAACTATAACTCTTTTATAGTGTTAATTATTTGCTTTTGGACTACATTAAGTTTTTTATTTATCATTATTGTTTCAGTTTTGTTTTAGTCAATTAGTGTATCCTAAATTTTAAGAGCAAGTCTAGTCAGTTACCCCATGTTCCTAATGTGGTGGTGGTTAGTTTTACTTTTGAAAACACTATAAGTGTTTTGGTTGTCATGAATAAAAACACAATAATTCCCATTTTCTCAATCTCTCTGCTATAATAAAACCAACAATTGGTATCAGAGCTTTCTTCTTACGGGGCCTGTGAAAATAGAAGGTGAAGCAAGTTTCTCACGAATTGCTCAGCCCACCTTTGATGGAGACAACTATGACCTTTGGGCAGTTAAAATGGAGTCTTATTTGGAGGCGTTGGACCTTTGGGAAGCCGTGGAAGAGGATTATGAAATTCCTCCGCTGCCGAACAGTCCTACCATGGCTCAAATAAAATTGCACAAGGAGAAAAAAACCAAGAAGGCAAAGGCAAGATCATGTCTCTTTACTGGTGTTTCATTAATAATCTTCACCAGAATCATGACTCTCAAAACACCAAAAGCAATTTGGGACTACTTAAAGGAAGAATATGCAGGGGATGAGAGGATTCGAGGCATGCAAGTGCTTAACTTGATGAGGGAATTCGAGATGCAGGGAATGAAAGATTCTGAGACAATCAAAGAATACTCTGACAGGTTGCTTTCCATTGCGAACAAGGTTAGATTACTCGGCACTGAATTCACCGATTCTACAATTGTGAAAAAAATTATGGTTACAGTGCCAGAGAGATATGAAGCATCAATAACTACTTTGGAGAATACGGATGATCTATCAAAAATCACCTTAACGGGAGTGCTACATGCCTTGCAGGCTCAAGAGCAGCAAAGGCTTATGAGACAAGATCACGTGGTTGAAGGTGTTTTACCAGCCAAGCATCATGAAGTTGGAAGTAGTCAAAGCAGCCAAAGCAAAGACAAAGGTAAAAAGAAAAATTACTCACCTTGTGAGCATTGTGGCAAAATGGGTCACCCACCGTTCAAATGTTGGAGAAGACCAGATGCAAAGTGCAACAAGTGCAATCAGCTTGGACATGAAGCTGTAATTTGCAAAGGCAAATTTCAACAACATGAAGCCAATGCCAAGGTTGTAGAGCAAGATGAAGAAGATCAAATTTTTGTGGCAACATGCTTCTCAGCAAGGAGTAGTTCTGAATGCTGGCTGATTGATAGTGGTTGTACAAACCACATGACATATGATAAAACTCTCTTCAAGGATTTGAAGCCTGTAAAATTCTCAAAAGTCAGAATTAGGAACGATGATTATATTTCTGCAAAAGGAAAAGGAACCATTGTAATTTCAACTAACTCAGGTATGAAAACAGTCTCAGATGTTCTGTATGTGCCTGACATTGACCAAAATCTGCTTAGTGTGGGTCAATTGTTAGAAAAGGGATTTAAAGTTCTTTTCGAAAATCAACATTGTCTTATCTTTGACACTACCGGTCGGGAGATTTTAAGGGTAAGAATGAGAGGTAAAAGCTTCTCATTTGATCCAATTATGGAGGAGCAGACAGCTTACATCACTCAAGTCAGTCCCATTGAGCTCTGGCATAAGCGACTTGGTCACTGTCATATTCAAAGGATGCTGAACATGAAGAGGAAAGATATGATTGAAGGTCTACCAGTACTTTCTGATCATTTGCAAAATTTTAATGCCTGTCAATTTGGTAAACAAAACAGAGTGTCATTTCCCAAAACAGTTTGGAAAGCCTCTCAAAAGATGCAACTCATTCACACTGATGTGGCAGGACCTCAAAGAACTCCATCGTTACAAGGTAGTCTATACTTTATTATTTTCATAGATGATTTTAGAAGAATGTGTTGGATTTTTTTCTTGAAATTCAAGCATGAAGTGGCTGGAGTCTTTGGAAAGTTCAAGAATATGGTGGAAACTCAAAGTGGTTGCAAGATACAATTTCTAAGATCAGATAATGGGAAGGAGTACACCTCAACACAATTTAATCTATTTTGTGAAGAAGCTGGTATTGTACATCAACTCACAACCACATACACTCCAGAGCAAAATGGAGTTAGTGAAAGGAGAAATAGATCAGTAATGGAGATGGCCAAATGCCTGCTGCATGAGAAGGAATTGCCTAAAGATTTTGGGCCGAAGCGGCAAACACAGCCGTTTTTCTTCAAAATCGACTTCCATCCAAGGCTTTGAAAGACAAAACTCCTTTTGAGGCTTGGTATGAATATAAGCCTTCACTAACCTTTCTTAAAGTTTTTGGTTGTGTTTGTTTTGCACATGTTCCACAGGTTAAGCGCGACAAGCTTGACAAGAAAGCAATGTTTCAAAAGCCTACAAAGTATATCATCCTCAAACTAGAAAGTTGACTGTTTCTAGGGATGTGCATTTCAATGAAGATCAACAATGGAATTGGAAAAACCCACCAAAAACAATTGGATTTTTAACAATATTGAAGATGATTATGGCGGAAACCAAACAACAGAGTTGTGTCAGGATGAATTAGAAGATGACCCTCCTATTAGAGGCATAAGGCTGTTGTTAGACATTTATCAAAGATGCAATGTAGCAGTATGTGAACCTAGTTGCTGTGAGGAAGCACTCAAGGATCCAAAATGGAAAAAGGCAATGGAAGATGAGATTTCGATGATTCAGAAAAACAACACATGGGAGTTGGTTGACAAGCCTCAAGATAGAAAAGTTATTGGAGTTAAATGGGTTTTTAGAACAAAGCTTAATGCGGATTGCTCAATCAATAAATACAAGGTCAGACTTGTAGTAAAAGGGTATGCACAAATTTGTGGTGTTGATTATTCTGACACTTTTGCACCAGTGTCCAAATTAGATACAATTAGATTGGTGTTAGCAGTTGCTGCTCAACAAGGCTGGAAAGTATTCCAGTTAGATGTCAAATCAGCCTTTTTAAATGGAGTTTTACAAGAAGAGATATATGTGAAGCATCCAGATGGATTTGTTATGCATGGTGAAGAAGATAAAGTCTATCTGCTCAAAAAAGCCCTTTATAAATTAAAACAAGCACCAAGAGCTTGGTACAGTAGGATAAATGAACACCTATTGAGCATAGGCTTTGTGAAAAGCTTATCTGAGGCCACTCTTTATGTAAAACATAAGGGAATAAATTTTATCATAGTTTCCCTCTATGTTGATGATCTTTTAGTGACTAGAGATGATACAAGGTTGGTTGAAGAATTCAAACAAGAAATGATGCAAGTTTTTGAAATGACAGATCTTGGTCTTATGTCTTATTTTCTTGGAATTGAGATCAAACAAAATGAGAATGATGTGTTCATATGTCAAAAAAAATATGCTAAGGAAATCTTTAAAAAATTCCAAATTAAGGAGTGCAAAGCGGTTAACACACCAATGAACCAAAAGGAGAAGCTGAGCAAGGAAGATAGTGTTGACAAAGTTGATGAAGGCTATTACTGGAGCTTGATTGGATGTTTAATGTGTCTCACTGCAACAAGGTCGTACATTCTGTTTGATGTAAGTCTTCTCTCCCGATTTATGCAGTGTGCTAGTGAAATGCATTTAAAGGCATAAAAAAGGGTATTGAGATATATTAAAGGTACTGTTGATTATGGTGTCAAGTTTAAGAGCTGTCAAAATTTCAAGTTATGTGGATTCTCTAATAGTGACTGAGATGGATCCATTGATGACATGAAGAGCACTTCAGAATATTGTTTCAGTCTAGGCTCAGGAGTTTTTTCATGGTGCACAAAGAAGCAGGAGACAGTAGCACAATCCACTGTAGAATCTGAATTCATAGCAGCAACAGCAACCGTAAATCAAGTTTTGTGACTGAAAAAGATCTTATGTGACTTACATTTCCAACAGAATTATAAGACAGAAGTGTTTATCGACAACCAGGCAGCAATTGCAATTTCAAAGGATCGAGTGTGTCATGGCAAGACTAAATATTTTAACATCAAACTCTACTTCTTAAGAGATATGCAACAAAATGGAGAAGTGACTTTGGTTTATTGCAAGTCAGAAGATCAATGGGCAGATTTGTTCGCAAAGCCACTTCCTGTCCGCAAGTTTGAGCTATTGAGGCAGAAAATTGGAGTTTGCATATCCTAAAGCAAGGAGGAGTGTTAATTATTTTCTTTTGGACTGCATTAAGTTTTTTATTTATCATTATTGTTTCAGTTTTGTTTTAGTCAATCAGTGGATCCTAAATTTTAGGAGTAAGTCT